GATTGGTAGCTGGCCTGGGTCGTAGGATGGGACCGAGTCTTTCAGAAACCCTTGGGTCATTGATCTTTGAGCATATGTGGAGAGGATTCTCTCGACGTTACTTTAGGAAGCCTCGGCAGTCACGATAAATGGCTTTTGATCCTTCCAACCCTTATGCAAGGAGGTGTCTTCCTCCACTTCTCATGCTTTGGGTCAAAACATCTGGGTTGAGAGAAGTCTCATATTGATCAATGTTTTGATGATTAGCTTGCTCCTCATCAGGGATACCCATGTCGAAATGAGGTGACCCTCCGTGTTGGGGGGCACCCAGATGATGGTTGATGTCCACAAGGGTAACGAGTTCGCGTGTTTGAGTACGCCTAGTTTCATGGAGCGCCTTAAAGAGCTTCTCTTACTGCTCTTGGATGACTTCATTTTTCATTGCTATCTTGTTATTCTGAGCTTCTACCTCATCGACTTTAGCTTGAAGAGCAACCCTCTTTCCTTCCTTCTTTCGTTGCTTCACACTAGGTGCAAAAATGGTGTCATTCTGTGTGCTGTGGCTTCCTTCACTCCCCATGTTGGAGAGGGATGCCTGGTCAAAAGAGAGTATACGAATGGTGGAAACCAGCTTGGCAAAGCTAAAGAGAGTGGGAATAAGTGTCGTTCCCACAGACGGCGCCAAATGTTGATGCATAAAATCAGCGAGGACTTTGGTACAACAGAAAGTGTTAAGTTTGTGACCTTCGCTAGATTGCTTCGGTCACTAGTGTGGATAAGTAAGTAAATGGATAGGGACAGGGAAGCAAACACAAGATGTACGTGGTTCACCCAGATTAGCTACGTCCACGGAGTAGAAGAGTTCTCATTAATTGTGAAGGGTTTACACAAGTACATAGGTTCAAACTCTCCTTTAGTGAGTACTAGTGAATGATTTAGTACAAATGACATTAGGAAATATTGTGAGAGAATGATCTCTATTTATAGAAGAGAGTTTCTAGTTTCATTCTGACATTGACACGTGTCGTGTTGTGATTGGCTTCTGATGTTGACACGTGTCGCGTTATGATTGGCTTCTGATGTCGACACGTGTCGCGCTGTGATTGGTCTCCTGATTGGAGGGAAACTCTTCTGGGTCCTTGACGGTATAACGTTGACCGGTGCTCAGTAGTTTCGGGATTGGTCAAGTATGGTACAAACACATACTAAAGTTTGGTAATGATCCAATGGTCGAATCATCGAATCATATAATAACCAAGTGGTGGCCCTTAACAGAAATATAACTAAACAACGGAATTTATGTCTAATATGAAATCGGGGCACCCATTTTAGCCTAGGGAGGTCAAGTGGTGTCTCTACTTACGTGCTGTAGCACATAGCGGTCGGCCGCCCCGACTCGTAGGAAAATTTCACCTACTTTAAAAATTACCACTGTAAGGGGAGTAATTTTCATACATGGGCCGAAGTCCAATCCGACCGGGAAGTGCTCAGAATTGCCTCGAATCTGCCTGAAACCTAGAATTTGGGTGTCCTCGATTCAACCTTCATACTAGCTCCGATGCATCATCTATTACTTGTGCTTTGTTCATGTGGTTGAGGAAAGTCTATTGGTGGTGGTGGTTGATGGAGTTAGCTTTAAGATTGGTGGATCGTCGTCATGAACCCCATTGCACCCACCTTGCGGGTTTCACAATTTCATGGCCAAATTTCATAAATTTTGTGGTGGAATGGGTAAAGGGAAAGTCGTGGAGTGATTCCTAAGTGGTGGCTAGGCTTCAATCGCCGGAATCCATCGGGTTTCACAGTTCCACGGGTCGGGTCGTAAATAATCGGTAAAGGATCCATGATCCCGTGCTTCTCTCCCCTCTCCTTTCCTCTCCTTTCTTTTTTCTCCATCGGTCAACCTCCTTCATTTCCCCTATCCCGATTCGACCAACCCCTTCCTTTTTCCCTTATGATCTCCATTCTTTTGTTTCTAATTAGGCAAAACATCCCCATTTTCTTCCTCCTCTCTCTTTTCTTTTCTTTTCTTTTCTCCCCAGCCACTCACGTGGCTTCCTTCCACCAAGACTAGGCTCCCACAAATCTAGAGCCTTCCAGATTCATAGCAAAATGACTATTTTGCCCCCATCTTCGTTTGTTTATAACTCCAAATTGTGTTCTGTTTGCGTTCACGTGTTCGTATCGTTGAGTACTTTGAGAATTCGCAAAAAGAGTAGCTTGTACACGTCACGAAAGATGGCCAATGAAAGTCAAACATCCTTGCCTCTAAGAGCATTTTCGTAAAATCACTCTTTTAAAATTTATAAAACCGTGAAATTAGGGACGGGTTGCCACACACCACGTATTGAGTTGGCTTTTGTTTCCAACTATACTATTTTTTATATTTTCCATAACTATTTTATGAATACTCGCATATCATGCTATAACTTTTACTTAGAAAAATACAAAAAGTTTTATACATTTTTATTATTGTGATTTATGAATGTTATGGATCCAAATATGATATGATAATATACATACTTTATATCCTCATCATGTATGTTCGCACGGTATCTTTAGTACACAATAACTATAATACTGTCTTGGGCCAAGACCAACTTCATGTGTATGTTTACATGCATTGTTACGTTCACAATTGATTTATTGTAGGTGCTAGCCTGTATTAGTTTTACATTAGGCAACTAGGACTCGCACGTGACGCGCTAAGCGCCAGCTTCATGTGTATGTTGTACTATAATGTAAACTTTTACACCAAGCCTATTCATGTAAATACTTTATGCATGAACTCGTGTGCTTGCGTTTATTTTTATGAGCATATCATATTATTTTATATTATATTGCGATGTACCTGTATCATTGAGATTATTGTTGTTTTATTCTGGTACCTTGGGTTTCGTACTTACTACATAGTATGCTTTTAGAGACTATACGTGATTTTACAGTGAAGGGTTACTATGTTCGGAAAAACAAATGGTTATAGAAAACTCTTATTTTTGCTCACTCACGTTTTCTATTTTCCATGATTTAGAAGTTGTACTGTGGTGGAGACAATGATTTATGACACTCACTAAATTCAATCCCGATAATATAGAAAATTAATTTCCGTTATTTTCTATAAATATCCCTCCTTTTCAGGCCTTTTCAAGATTGGAATATTCTTTTTGATACACTGTTATCTATGCTCTGACACACATTTTAATAAGGATTCATCCCCTAACGCACTCTTGTTTTCAATTTTAATTTTAGTACTTTTACCCATCACCTTCATCTTATGGCTTCGTCTCAATTCAAGTATCGGCCAACCTACCTTGATTTCAGTATCCATGTAGATATTCCGGCTAGGGTGTGTCACTAATCAACATTACGAGGAGAAAATCCAAAAGTTCTCCAATTTTTCATCTTTCTGTGTCTTCTAGCTGTTCTCAGCAAACCATATAGAGACGGGCACAACAAATCTAGATCTAGAGCGATATCAGGTATTTTTCCCTTCTAATATCTTCTCTATTATCCTATGATTCTTTATATATTATGTACTCTCTGATGAGGAATCGAAGTAAAATAGGACTTGAAGTTTGTTATGTTCTAGATCTATCTTTGTCTTGAAGTTTGTTTTAGTTTATGCTCTCTCTAGAGTGATTTAATGTATTGATCCTTATTGAATATACAAACCAGCCCAAGCAGGTGGATTGTTATCTTGCCCCAAATGACAAATTTCAATTTCAAATTGAATCCCACGTAGTCTAGCTAATTTAGTTTTCAACATTTCTTTTGGAAATAAATTATAGATGTTTTTGTTATAAAATTAGATCTGTAACCATATCATGTATTTTCCCCTATTTAAATATCAATTTATCATATAATTCTTTATTCGATTATATATTCTCTAATGAGGAACGTAAGTGGAATGGCCTAAAGTGTGTTTATATTCCAGATCTATTTTTATCTTTTCTTTATTTTACTTTATGTTCGCTCAAGAGCAATGTCATACATTTTTCGTTTTTGAATATCTTTGTTGGGGAACTAAAAGCAGTCTACAACATGCAAACCAACTCGGGCTAACTTTTCCCAAATGACGAAAATCAGTTTCTACTGTGATTCAATGTAGGTTAAAATATTGATACAAAATGTAGGGCTAAAATCGTCAATAGCTCAAAGTTGGAACCCACAAGAGAATAACCCTTTCCTCTCCCATTAGATTTGTCTTTGAACCTTTATTTGTTTAAATTTATGTTTTCTCTATACAATCTCCATGTTCTACAAATTTAATCATATCTTACATCATTCTCTGTTCAGATGCCTGCAGAAACTAAGGGTATGTTTGGGGGAAGAAATTTCATATTGCAAGGGATTTAGGTGTATAATAAAATAGATCATATAAAGTTTGGTAGGAGGGATTAGAAATACATTACATGAGCATTATAATACGCATACGAGAGGATTTTGCAAATGATTCATTCAAGTAGTCATTTGGTGCATTTTCTAGGGATTAGAAATAACCTCTACCATACTTTTAATAATCCCTCTTACATATATCTTTGTAACATTCATGTGGTGCATTTTTTTTATTCCTCTCATCTAACCTTTTGTGATCCAGTTCATCTTCATTTTACCTAAACATGCATTGAAGATGAATTTGCCTTCAAGGTCTCTCACCCAAACATAAGGGCGATCCCAAGTCAACAAGGCTCCTCGCTTTGTGAGCGTCATAGGAAAAATATTTATTGTACGCAGTCTTACCCTTATTTTGTAAAGAAGATGTTTCCACATTCTCTCACCGAAACATAACTTAAAGAAAAACAAAGTGCCAAATCGTATACTTATAGTATCTTTTGTTCATTAGAAGCCCAAACGCAATGAAGATGATTTTTTTTTTTCACTTGTAATTGACCACAATCAGTTGGGTTTTCGAAGAGGAAAAAGATTCCTAAAGGTATTTTACCTGAAGGAATGGGAAAGCTTTCCTGCGTTTTAAGTGTAGAAACATGTTCTGTTTTTTCAGGAAGCGTATCTTTCTATAAATGGGTTCGAACTCAAAGTTAAAGTATGCCAATGCATGCAACAAAGATAGAATCAGTGCATTACCAGATGAAATTATCTGCAACATTCTTTCCACCCTGTCAACTAAAGAAGCTGTAAGGACCAGTATTATATCACCGAGATGGAGGAATGTGTGGGCTCATGTTCCCACTCTAGACCTTTGTGATAAGCATTATCAAAGAGAATTTAACCCAGTTGGTTTTTCTGAGTTTGTCGATCGTGCACTCTGCATTCATAGCCCGTTCAACAATCATGAATTCCGTCTCTCTAGTGCTTTTGCTGAGTTTGTGGATCGTGCACTCTCCATTCGTGGCACGTCCAAAATTCACAGACTCCGTCTTTGTTGCTCTGGGGTGAAGAATTATCCTCTTATTGATGCTTGGATAAGGACTGCCATTAGGCTTAATGTTGTTGAACTCGAACTTGTTCTGTATTCTTTTGGCCGCCCTTTTGAGTTGGCTAGAAATCTTTTCACGTGCAAAACGCTGGTCGTTTTGAAGCTTTTGCTGGAATCAAATATTACCTTCACTCCTACCTCAGATTGTTTCCCAAGTCTTAAGTTCTTCCATGCTAAAGTCTATGATCCTGATGCTGACTCAATGGAGAAGCTCTTTTCTTCTTGCCCTGCACTTGAAGAATTGATCATAGGAGGAGATATTGTAGCTAGTAAAGTTTTGAATTTTAATATCTCAACACCTGAACTAAACAGACTGAAAATATTCTTGGCGGAAGACGACTTTTGGGAAGGATCTGAGTCAAATATCTTTTTCAATGTTAATGCTCCAAACCTTGAAAAGTTTGATCTCGAGGCGGATTTTGTAGCAAACTATATTTTGAATGCAAATTCACTCAGCGAAGCCAAGATTGATCTCGAATATGTGCACACGTCTGGGTACATTGACTATGAACTTGGTTGTGTTGATCGTCTGGAAAGGCTTTTTGCAGGACTTCTCAATGTGAAATATCTGTCACTTTCAGCTCCACTTTTCGGGGTAAGTTTTCTGTAACTTAAACTCGTTTCCTTGTCACTCGTTTGATAATCATTTTGTTTTTGTGCTTGAGTTTTCATTTTCTACGGTGGAGAAAATATATTAGAGAAATGAGGAATGAAGATAGATGAAGGGAGGCAGTGAGACGGAAGAGGGAGAGATGAAGGAGAATAACCGAAAACAAAACCGTGAAACTAAAAACTACTTAAAAGTGTTCGCAGTTGCCACTCAATACTATGGTCTAGTGATATTCCTCTTTACTTGTGAGTGAGAGGTCCTAGGTTCGAATATCGTGATGACGAATTTAATACCAAATTAGGTTACTTATTGTGTGGCTTAGCCGAACTTCCCCCTCCTCTTAGTGTAAAATATATCGTTGTACTAAAAAAAAATGTTTGCAGATTTGATTTTAGTTTGGCTTAAATGTTAGAATGGTCCATGTGTTTTAGTCATTGGGTCAATTTAGTCCTTGTGTTCTCAATTTGACCAATTTGGTCATTGTGTTTATTTTCATAAGGCAATTAAGGACATTTCCATCTAATTTTTGTAAAAAAAGATTAAAAATTATTATAAACTTATTTATAAAATTATTTATTTGATTTAAAATATTTAAAAGTGAAACAAAATAAAAAATTAAAAGAAAAAAAATTCTCCTCCCAACTCTCTGACCTCCTCCCTAACGTTAACCCCTCTCTTTTTTATGTCACAACCTTAATCATTTTTCAGATTAGAAGTTTTATCTCTTACATGTGTTATTTTGCATTTTTCTATAAAGAGAAATGGTAATTATATCTCTTATAATTTTCCTTATGAATTTTTTAACAGAGATTGAATAAAATGTCCTTAATTAGTTAACATAGACAAACACGATGACTAAATTAGCCAAATCGAAAATACGATGACTAAATTAGTGATATGACTATATAACACATAGACCATTTTGACATTTAAGCCTTTTAGTTTTCATTTATGTGTTATCATGTATAAATTTCTTTTACATTCCTTCTGTAATCCTTCCAACACGATTCTTCATTCCTCATAGATCTTCCACATATTTCTCCCTATCTATATTGAAAAATAAAAATTTGACGAAAATGATTATTGATACCTAGTCTTTTTAAGATGCTGAAATTTATCGGTGGAATTAGTTATATATAATATATATGCGCTGGTGAGGAAGTATTTAAGTTTTCATGAATCTTGGAGTGACATTTAATACTTTATGATTCTGGAGGATCCTGAATGTCACACTGAAGATGGTTTTCATCTGCCTGAACTGAATCGTTTGAACCATTTGGAGCTACTTCTTTTTACTTGCTGCAATTGGAAATCACTCATAGATTTGCTCAAGATATCGCCCCATCTGGAACATCTTGATGTTTATAATGTAAGTATTTGTGGATCTACTTTTCACTCTAAAATCTAAATGCATATGGTAAATAGGGGAGTAGATTTCAGAGACCTTAATTTCACTCTTTTATTTTTGAACTATCTTCAGAACAAGGAATGTACGTTGGAAAATTATCGTGATCTCTTGGTATGTGAATGGGTTCCACCTGAGTTTGTGCCTATTTGTTTGTTGTCGCACATCAAGACTATTTGCCTTCGAGGAATCCAGGGCCGGCCTGATGAGACAGAAGTGACAAAGTACTTGTTGAAGCATGGCGAAGTCCTGAATAAGGTCACGATTTATACGTGCGACTTCCGCGTAGAAGACAAGCTGAAACTACGTCAGGAAATTTCAATGTTTTCAAAGGGTTCGACGACTTGTCAAATTGAATTCCTGGAGAAATGATATCTAGGTTCTATATGGATTCCCTTTTTAAATGTGTCCTTTTGACTTTGTTTTGCTGAAAAACATGAATTTATCTGGACTTATTTAACATTTGGAGGACTAATATACTGGGGAGATTTTTGGCTTTTAACTTTGAACAACATATCTTCAACATACATGCATTCACCATATCAAACATATGGTGGAGAGTATTTGCTTAATTATATATAGTCTACTGATATTGGGTATATGAAACCTAATTAAGGAGAAGCATATATCCATGGCAGTAGACACATTGCCCTGAATCTCTAACAAAGAAATCCAAGATGCACCATAGTTAGTAAAATACAAAACAGGTATAATATGTGAAAAATATGTACGCGGATTATTTTGCATAGAATTTCTAAAAATCAAATAAAATTCCACTAAAATCTATGAATTTATAAATCAATTAAAATATCTTAAAATCTCAATTAACATAAGGAGAGGAGTCGTGGTGTCCAACAATTGGCACCTCCTCTATCTGCATCTGCCAGCTCCGGCCGGCGTTAACCCAAACTTGATGGCACTTTCGATATGGGCAAGTGTTGAGCTTAGATAAGATGTGGGTCCTGTAGATCATGGAGAGAATGAGTCAATGAGTGAATGAACCGACAATATTGGATAAACTTAGGGAGTTCAATTCGCCTTATATGACTGCTTGCAAGGCCGATTGTTGATATGAGATTGTAGAGGGGAGAGAGGCGAGGTGACTGCAAGTTGTTTTGGCAGGAATCTGGAGTTGTTGGTGTGTAGCCGGCCACAATGGTGGTTGTAACCTCCATTCTTTCACTAGTTTTCCTTTTTATTTTGGTAGTTGATGTAGGGTGGACCGAGGAGTCTTGGGGACGAAGGATAGGTGATCTGGGATTCGCTCAACTAGGGATAACAGAGCCTTTTCGTGCATTTACTCACACAACCAAATCACATGCTTGTTTTGAAAAGAAGAAATCACTCCCTTCAATTGCACAAGACAAATGTATGTTTCTTAATTAATAAGTCTGCCATTCTAGGCATTCTAATACACTATTAAAAAGGCTTACAATATTTAATACACCACTTCTTAATTATATGTTTCTTAATTAGATAAGTCTGCCATTCTAGGCATTCTAATACACTATTAAAAAGACTTACAATATTTAATAGACCTCTTCTTAATTTCTATGGGACTCTTACAACCTCCAAAGAAGACTTAACCAAATTCCTAGGTGACAACATTTCAAGTTTAATTAAACCTTTTACTCCCCATACAATTAGTTGTTATTTAATGGATGTTGTGTACTGATCAGTAGTGCTTTTAACACTTTTTCTCACCTCATATGCTTGTACCACACTCTTTCTCACCTTACACACACCTCTCTCGTTTTGTAACCGTTAGATTGAAAATTTAAAGTAAAATCAACTGTCAAGACCAACATGGGGTGTGCACTTTGTAAAAAAGGTGTACAAGTTTTAACTGATTAGTGTACAACTTTGAAAGTTGAAATTTAAATAATGGGTGGTAAAAAATATCCTTTAAAATTAGGTTATTTTTGGGATATTCCTAACTGTAGGTAGTGTACAACTTTGAAATTTAAATAACGGGTGGTCAACGGAATTGGATGTCGAGAGAAAATTTTTGGGTGTATACAAAATCACTCTTTTGAAAATCATCTCAAATCTAAAGAGAGTGAAATGCTTGTGCATATTTCTCAATTGTTTTTGTAATTTAACATTAAAATATCGAGAAGCCTAGTTTCAAAATCTTACCTCGAGTTATTATTTGGACTGAAGAGTTCAAAAGTTTTTTGCCCAAAATAAGGGTTCAAAAGTTAATCAGCCCTAAACTTGAATCAATCAGGTGCCATCCATGGACCATGATATGAGTTCGTGATATCGAATTGCATTTTCCTTTTTACCAAAAGAATTGTCATGTATTCCAAAACATTATTTGCTTATGTACATGCATTACATTTGCATATTTAATTGCATGCATGTTTCTGAATTTTGAAACCAGTAATACGGAGAAAGACTTACATGAAAATGGTACATCACAAGCATGGAATTGGTCCAATAATTAATTTTCACATGTAAGTCATTCTCTACACACATTATATTATTAACAAGATCCTGAAGATCAACACCAGCCCAATTGATGTTTGTGTTGAAGTGTGATCTTGCCTTGGCCCAAGATGGATCCAGCCCATGGACAAAGAAAGATCCATACACATGCTAGAGAATTCTAGCAAAGTTCAAGTTGGTGGAAGAGTCTAGAAGAATGGTGATGTTTCCACCAACATGCAAGATTAGTAGTTAGTAGAATTATCTAGATATCTCTAGCATGATGATTACATGCTTCTCCAAGGTTCCATCCATGCCTATAAAAGGAGAAGGCATCCACACCATTTGTATCAATCAAGCAACCAATCAACCAACCAACCAAGTGAGAGTGAGAAGCAAGAATAGTCTTGTAGGAGTGTGAGTGATCAAGAGTGTGTCTCTGGAAAGTGAGTGAGTGTCATAGCTTCTAAAGTTGTGTCCTTGTGAGTGTTGTAATATTTTGTGTGTGTAATACAAGTAATTTATTTACTTGTGTTGTCTCTCCAACACTTCTGTTAGAGTTGTGTACTCTTAAGTTTTTCCCCAACAGATCCCATTTACCATAACCTCTAGTTACATTGTACCAGTGTGACCAAAGTAACAAAAAGACAAATAAAATGAAAGATAAGAATGATCCATAAGAGAGATAACAGGAGATGGGGGAATCTGTGCAAAGGTTTATATTTTAAGGCAACACAATAACCAGTGTGACCAAAGCAGCAAAAAGACAAATAAAATGAACCTTCAGTGACAATCCATAAACCGAAAGAGAGATAACTATACTATTGCAACATTTTTTTTTATACAAGATAGTGTTGGAATAGAGAGTTCAACCTACAACCTTGTTCTTAATTACTTTCTTGGGTTACAAATATCTTGTTATATAATTTCTACATCAAATGTGAATAATCCAACTGTAGATATCAAAGTTTTGGTGAAAAGTAAATGTACATACACATTAAAGTTTGACATATCAGGACATAGGTGGCATACACTATGTGTCTCATAAATCATACATATGGCATGTAACTCATGAAAACTGGACGAGTCATCAAGAGTGACACGTGTCGACATTTGGCTAAAAGTAATTAAGGAATTATTCCAAATGTCAAATCACGAACTGAGCCATAAAACAAGTCTTGATTCTTTCGTTAATAAATCAAGCCCACAATCAAGGCCAAATCATCCGTAGGCAAGACTTGGATAGTCTATAAATATAATGCTAAAAAAAAAATGCTAGAAAATTATTCTCACACCCAGATGCTGAAGTTCTCAGGCCCCCAAATTCACAAACACTCAAACATTAAAGAAGACTCAGAAAACTCTCTGTGTTCTTCGTCAAACTCGTGAAGAATCATCAAGCACCACTACGAATGCCGATTCTTCCATTGCCACAAGTCAAACCCTTGCGGCATCTGTTTATCCAAGATCAAGTCATCACGACCTTTGGATAAATGACAACACACACACACACATGCACACTTTGTGGACATCAAATAAGAGGATTAAAATTTTAATTAGAGATTTTAACCCTAGACCCTACATTAATACAAATTCTTTATTTTTTACATGTGTTCTTGTGTCTTTGTTACAAGAAATTCACGTTTACACAAACAAGTATCATGTACTTATTTAATACAAATGATACTTAGTGAAGAGGGAGTTACACATAAGATCACGACTACAAGAGTGATTATTTTTAACCAGCTGAGCTATAGCTAGCTACATATATAGAACAAACCTATTGAGGTTTTAGACGGCTTGTGATGTATCTTATCCAAATGATTCTTCTCTAACATCACAACCTTAGTAGCACGTAATTATAAGTTAATGTGACCGGCTCCAGGGCTGGGTACTGATTGCGCTTTGACAGAACGAAGCTGATCATGAAGAGTAGTGATGAACTGCTTTCCAACGCTAACATTGCTTGGCACTGCATGATGACCTTCATGCTCACCCAAAGAAGGTAGTGACCTGTAGTCCGGATCAGTTTCCGTACCCGCCATCAAGCTGTCCTCCGAAGAAAGCTCGCCACCCTTTCCATTGTTTTCAACCCTCAGCAGCCTTCCGGCTCCAAAAGTGGGCATGCAGAAGGCAAAACCAAAGAGGAGGATAAGAAAGAATGGCTTATATGAACGAGCCATTTGCATAACAAATTTGTTAGCTAGCTAGTTGATGAAGTAATTTTGAAGAGGGGTTTAAAGTATATATATGAGTGCTGAGGGAGATGCGTGGGGGTCAAGTTATAACTGGCTAATTGAAAGTGATGACAATTAGATGGAATAGTTTGGGACATGCATTTTCGGTGGTCCATATTGATTTTGAAAAAGTAGAGAGAATGGTCATTGGAAGTTAGGTACACTTCAACTATAAGAAGCTCACATGCAGTTATGTAGAAATGTGACTCCTTAAATTACTCATGTACAAAGGTTACAATATATATAGGGTTTGAGGAAAACTCATACGCAGTTGAAATCCTAAACTAATTACAATTAAATATACATTCCATTAATTACATAGGAGAATCCGGAATAATTTATCTATTCTAACACCCACCCATCCCCACCCCTACCCCCGCAAACTAGACATTCCTAATCGAACGAGTTTGGAGAAAAAAAGATCGTGACGAGACTAATGGAGAGCTTTAGTAAGAAGATCAGCAATTTAGCAGGAGAAATATAACAAACCCTATGACTACGAGGGCCACCTTTTTTACAGACAAAGTGATAATTAAGTTTAACGTGGTGAGTGCGACTGTGCAAGCGTGCTGAACATGATTAGCAACAAGATAAGTAGCACTGAAATTATCACAATGAAATAATAAAACAGGAAAGGATAGCTGAATCCCGAGCTCTCTTAGAAGAAACAAATCTATGTAGTCTCTGCATGCGCATGAGCAAGTG